TGATAAATAGGGGGGGACACATCGAAATGTTCCCTTTTTTTGTTCTCCCACCTCCCACAGTTCTTGGGAATGAGGAAGGAGGCCACTAAGAAATGTTGGCATTTCAGTCAGAAGCAAAGGCAGCTGAAGTGGAATGCTTGCTGCTTTATTTCCCCCCCCCCCTTTTTTTTTTTATTTTTGGGGTGAGGGGTTGGTGGGGAGAGAAATGCTGCTGCAGAGATACTGCAAAGCTGCTGTGCAGAAAATCCTGCCTGGATTTGTTCAGTTTTCAGATTCAGGGGTAAAGCAGTTGACAGTTCCTGTGCCTGAGATTGCCTGAAGTGACTGAGCCAGCAAAGGAGACCCAGCAGGGGCTCAAGTGAAATTCTTCCAAAATGCTCTCGTTTACACTCACTGCATCCTTTTCCAGTAAAACCCTTCAAATGCTGCTTCAAAAATTCATGAGTTTGAGTGCTTTAATGGAAGCAAAGGAGAGATTTTTCTGTCTCATCCTGAAAAAGCCTGTGTAAAGTTCAAAGGGAACTTTTAGTGTTTAGTTATGCTGCACTCACCCATCCAGGAACTCTTCTCCCTGAGTTAACCTGAAGCTTTCATGTTTTATTGAGATCACTGTGGGATGTTGACTTTCACGTGAGCCCTGTAAATGGGCAGCCTGTTAAACAGGGCATTGATGTGAATTTAGTTTCAAATGATACACGCTGTGAATAGGATTTTTCTAGTCTTTTCCTGCTGAAATTGTTGATTATTTTTCTGTGATTTTCATTAAGGCAGAGCCATCCCTGGAACTGTTCAAGAGAGACTGGCTTTACATTTTCATTTTTGGTTTTGGTATCTTTTAGCTTTTTCCTTGTCACCACAGAGTTAAAGTCGACACAGAGCTTTCTGCAACTTTTTCATCTGGCTTCTTTTAAGAGTAACATCAAGGGTTTTCAGGGAAAATTGTTGCCTTTAGGTTTTGATCTTCATTAGTTTATGTCCTCGGAGATATAAGCAGATTAAGTGCCACTATTGCAGCAGAAAAGAAACTCAGCAATACATGCAGCAGAAATGGGCTGTCAGCAAAAAAAAAAAAAAAAAAAAAAAAAATCAGCAATGAGAAGTCAGCCTTAAAAACAATCTAATTATTTGTCTGAGGTACAATGTTGCCCCAGGGAAAGTCAACAGGAGCTCTTCTGTAGCCAGAATTCATCAGAATCCATCCTTTAGTTATAATTTGAAGCTATAGTATGAGCTTTAATTCCATTACAGGGAAATTTTTTTTTTTTTTTTAAAGGAGAAAGATCAAGGAAGGAAAGTCCAGAAGATGTAGTGTCATCTTTTTATATTGGGCAAAAAGGGAAGGAAAGGTCTTTCAGAGGTCGGAAGATTTTGGGAAGCCAGGGACAGCACAGGGTGAACCCTCTGGTTCTGCTTGGTGGGACCAGTTGAGGACTGACCAGTTCAATGGCTGGGGAGGGGAAGGCCAAGAGCACAAAAGGCCTCTTGCTTCATAGGCTGAAATAAAGCTCAGCAAGCCCAAAGGAAAATCTGCATGTATGCAACTTGAGGAACGAAGCCAAGAGCACAGATGGTGCGTTTTACATTCATGTCTTTGCACTTCATTCTTCCCATGCACTTTTTTTTTCCCACACTTCTGGTCGATTGAGCTGAGCTGGTAAAATCCTGAAAGAGGTGAGCGAGCCTTTGCGATTCCCAGCCATGGCCGAGCTTCCCTGTCACTGCAGCCCCAAAGTAAAATCTTCCAGTAGGAAAAGGTCCTTAATGGTCCTGCTGTGGGTTTTAACAGCCAGACCTGGATCACGTCAGCCCGCCAGGCTGATTGTATTATAATTGCAATCACCGGTGCTTTGATTCTTGGCTTGAGCCTTTGTAGGCTGCAGTCATTGAAATTATAGAGCTTATTTGCTGGCCACTCGGGGCTGGATTGAAAGACATGCACAGTAATACCCGAAATTAGAGCCTGTGTGACCGATTTCTCGGGCTGGAGCTGCCTGAGCAGTAGGTGATAAGTGGGGCAACTCTGTCAGCTCCATTGAAAGACTGATTTACAGCAGCTCTCGTTGTCAGTCCTGAGGAGGAGCTGACATTCCCTTCACTGAGCAAGCTCATGCTGTAGGAGAAATCAATTTCACCCACAGTCACAAATAAATTAGTTTTAAAATGCAGTCACTTAGAATAAGGGGGGCAGTTGTTGTATTTGTAATGCACTTGTGAGGAATGATCCTGTGTTTTACCCTTTATTTTTGAATACTCTCGAACATTTGGACATCTAGACTCTCTGCCAGGAGTAGCACTTTGGTTTTGAACAAATTCCCAAACAGCTGGTTTTTTTTCAAGTGGCATCATTAACCAATAATTATCTGCTGCATGTTTTCCTCCTCTGCCTCACGTCTCAGAACATACCTGGAAATGACACTGCCCTGTGGCTCAGAGCAGCTTGAGATGAATCTGGATTTTGTTGCAGCTTTAGGGTCCAAAACCCTCTGGAGTCAGTTTTTTTTTTCCGTGCTGGACAGGAGTCTCTAAAGCTACAATCTGATGGTTGTGCCTGCAGAAGTAGGTTGGGTCTTTCACAGTGATTGTCCTGAGGGAGTTGCTGCTTTCCCTGTGTTCAGGTGGAGGGGTTGGGTAAGCACTGTGTGCCTGAGGAAACTGTAAAGCAGTTCTGGAATTCTGCCTCTGGGAGATGCCTGATTTAAGGCATGGTATCAGTACTTGATAACAAATGAATTCTTCATTTGCTTTATCTGCCAAAGTAACCCACTGATTGCTCAGCAGGAGTGAGGAATATGTTTAATTACAGTATACAGCAGCATCACGGGTTGGGGTTTTTTTCAGGCATTTTCTTTTTTTTTTTTTTTTTTCCCCTGAACCTATAAATAGTTTAAGATATACAGGATATTAGATGAAAGCCAGATAAATGTAATTCACAAGTTTTTAAAAAAATAATAATTTATACTTCGTGCTTGCATTGGTGGACCAGCTGAGCTTTGATCTTCAAGGTTAGGTCGGTTTAAGTAAAAAAGGCAGTGGAATTTTATTCTGAAATGACCCCTCAAATCCTGAAGAATAGCACTGTGATGAAAGTTTATTATCCTGACTAATCAAATTATCACAGGTTATAGGCAAAATGGAGGCCTTTTTTTTTTTTTAATCTGCTGGCATAGGAATGTCAAAGCATGATCTCCAAGCAAAACACTATTTCTGTATCTGTAAGCATTCAGTCTTCTGGGAACTGATTAACTATTATTGCACTTTCTGTCCATAAAATCAGTGAGATTTCTCATATACTTTAGAAGAGAAGATGATGAATCTTCTTCAGTTTGCCTTTTAAGCAGGGAGGGGAAAAAAAGTCCAAAATTGATTATAAGAATCACAGACTTGTTGGGGTTGGAAGAGACCTCTGGAGATCATTCATCCAATGCAGAGTCACCTGGAGCAGGTGGCACAGGAACTCGTCCAGGTGGGTTTGGAAAGTCTCCAGAGAGGGAAACCTGTTATATGAGGGGTGTGCTTTGGTAGTATCCACTTCCAGCTGAGATCAGTTGATCTTTTGGAAGATTTTGGAAGCCCTCAGTGTCCTGAGCACTCTGGCAGCTGCCAGGCACTCGCAGTAAAAACCCAGATATATTAAGAAAGCTCTACCCTGATACAACTTGTTTGCTTAAAGCAGTTTTCCATGTACTGGTGCAACATCCAGCTGTGTCCCCAGGAGTTTTTTGTTGGTCCGGTGTGTCCACATCCAGTGTACCAAGCTCACATCTTGTGGTTTTGTTCACATCCCTCGCTTCAAATCCATTTGTGTGTCATCTCCCAGGTGCCACTGAGAGGTTGGTTTCCCTGCCTTGCTCCCAGGAGCTCAAAGCAGCAGTTTTGTGGCTCTTTGTCCTGCAGGCTGGGGGTGATGTCTCCGTTTCTGCAAGGCTGTGTGTCTGAGCTCCTGAACACACTGCAGGCAAAAAAACCAACTCCACACAGCTCTGCTTCAAACCAGCACCCTAAAATAAGTGGTAACAGAGTGAAGCTCACACAAAAGGTGGGAGTATAAGGGGATTATTTAGTTCTCTCAAGCACAGCAAAGATTAACCTTAAAATACATATTTTTGAACTCAAGCAGCAAAATCCTTGGGAAGTGGATGTGAAACGCCACGAAACAAAAGCAAGAGTGGTTTATGCCCAGGGTGAACTGAGCCAAACAGGACAGCTCTGCATTTCTAGTTAAATTTAGCAGTGTGTTACTAATGACTGTGCAAAGTGCAAGGCATGAAGAGCTGTACTCAGAATGTGGATGCATGTGAATACCACTGTGTATATGTATGTATATTTGTGTGTATATATATGAGGTTTTTTTCTAAAAGCGTTTGATATTTATTGATCAGTGATTTTAAAAAAAAATATTTAAATTATGATGATGTTTGTATTGGGGTTAGAAGTCACGTAATTCTAAATTCTGTGCTGTACCAAGTTACCCACTCTGGTGTTTTTATTGCGTTAATAGTCATCTTAGAGAGGCACTTCAAGACCAGAGCAGGGCAGGCAGTGATACTGTAGCCATCATTTGAAGCCCTAAAGAAAGAATTTCCAGTATTTCCAGATGATGCATTTAAGTCTTGTGTGGGCCTTCCAGGACAGCTGCTCTCCAAAGCTGATCACAGCAGATCGTGCAGCATATCTCAAACCTCTTCATGTCACCTCCTTAGCGCTGGAACACAGAACCACCACAGAACCGTGTGTGCTCTTGGAAACTCCCTTACCCTCTTTAGGGATAGGTGTAGCTCTCAGTGTTGTTGCCAATTAGTTGCTCCCCCTTAAGAGAATAAAACAGAAAGGGGGAAAGTACAAGAAGAAATATTTGTGTCAGTGATGAGGTAGAACAGCACTGATTACCATGCTTATTTTACTTCTTTGTATGCCATTAGGGGGTTATTAGTGCACTCTTGAAACATATTCCAGAATAGCAATATTTGCAATGCTGCTTTTCTGTTCATCTGTTGTTGCAGAGCTGCCTTTTTTGCAAGGGGCTGAATTTTTTCAACCCATGTGTGTCGCCTGTCAAGAATTTTCACGTGACTCTCGGAAACCTGCTGCAAAGTCTTCCCTATTTGCTATCCAACCCCGTTTTCTTCTCCCTTTAGCAGGTAAGCACATGTTTCAGCAAAGTTATTTGCAGCTGGAAGACATTTCCAGTTGCAGACACCTGCAGAGTTTTGTTGGACTCAGTAGGGTTAATGTCTCTCCTCCAGAATTTTCCCCAAACTCACTGTGTTTTCTGACAAAGGGAAATATTTGAATCCCACTGCAGCACTCTGGGGTTTTTAGCATCAGTGTATGTCAGCCTGCATCCCTCTAGCTCTGGTACAGCTTAAAAAGACAGTACACATGGACTTTCAGCTGGGAGTCTATTTACAGCTGAATCAGGATGGTGAGCAAGCCACACAGAAAATTGCTCGAATTTCTGCTGTCTGAGAGGAGCCTCTAAATAACTTTCATGTCCTTGGGGGAAAAAAAGCCCTGAAGGGGGAGGGCCAGGATGGGTGATGGGAGAGCTCGGGTGTCACCCAGCACGGGGACCTCGAGCTGGAGAGAGGGTTCAGATGCTGTTCACCACGATCCCAGTCAGCGCTGCAGGAGCAGATTAAGGCTGACTGTGCACTGGAGCACGGGAGGGATTCTCTAATGACCTGTGTATGATTGATGGATACATGGGTGTGGCAAGAAGGGGCACTGAACAGCTGAGCAGGAGAAATGTCTTCCCCAGCTGCAGCTGTTCGTGCGGAGGGGCTTGGAATGGCCCTCCAGAGTTTGAGATTGGAGGTTTTGGGGAAGGAGGAAATTTTTAAAGATTGCTTGAAATCGCTTCCAGTAAATGCCAGTCATCAAAGAGTGTGCATGGGGGTGTGTGAGTGCATTTATGTGAAAGGAAAGAAAATGTGCTTAATCTGTCTTTGATGTTGTTCTGTTTTTCTTCTAACATCATCGTTGCATGTAGTTATTTTTTTTAAAGCAACTTAGAAATCTCAGAAAACAATCGCCAATTTCCTCCTCCAAAAGAATTTTCTTTCTGAATGTATTGAGAGGCTGTGAAACACTTATTTACTAATCTCTAATCTCTGCCATGGCTTCAGCTTTTTTCCCGTGTTTTTTAAGGAAAGAGGTCTTTTCTAAAGGGTTGGCTCTTGAAAACTTCTGGTTTGATTTACTTGGTGGTAATGGATGCTTTCTGCCCAATCTATATCCAGTGGTAAATGGTGGGAATTCCTGTTCTATGCTATTTTATTGCAATGGTAGCTGGATTTTCCCACAGCATTACTTGGTCTCATCCCAGGCTTCAAGAGTGAATGGTCCCCTATAACCTGCAGTTTGCCAGGGCCTTGTATGGTACTCACAGAGTCACAGTTTGGGGGTAGAAGAGACCTTAAAGATCATCTTGTTCCAACCCCCTGCCATGGGCAGGGTCACCTTCCACTAGACCAGGCTTCTCAAACTCTGTCCAGCCTGGCCTTGGACACTTCCAGGGATGTGAGCAAGGCTGGGAGCTACAGCAGAATTGAGCTTGTTCTGTAAGCTGGGCATAGATGTTTCAAAGTGAGAGAAAAATGCGAGAACTCATTTTGACTTGTGCTGCACCTTTTTTCCCTGAGGATTTCCAGACTGTTGTTCAGTTACTGCTGCTCTGCATTCCCTGAGAGGTGAGTTAAGGATATCAGTAGCAGAGAGGGGGCATTGTACAGTGGGAACTTGATAGTCCCAGGTCATCAAGATCGTGATTATGGGCATGGCTTTTCTCTTTATTCCTCTGGGAAAGGTGAGGGAAGAATAACTCAGGCAGGAAATCCCTTCCCGCTCTCCCTTCCCGTATTATTTCAAGAGTACCCAGAAAATTTCTACTCCTGAACTTAACAACCCTCTCTAAAACAAATATCCACATCTCCTGTTAACTAAGTTACCAGTCTACCAACTAATCTGTTCCCAAACATGAGTTTTGTCAGCAACAACTCCAAATACAGCTCCTGGGAGGGTTCAGCCCCTGCCAGCAGAGCTAAAAGCTGCTTTAATGCTTCACTGAAATATTTCGGAAAGCTCACTGTGAACAATCCATCTTTGTTTTGTTCGCTATTAAACTTTTCATTCTTGGTTTTCTAAATAACTGCCCCTCAGAGTAAACAGAGACACAGATGCAAACCTTCTGTATTTAGCAGAGCGTTTGCAAACCATCCCACTGTAAACTGTTTATAGATTATTGTGTAATCTGTAACTGTATTGTGATGGACAGTCAGACTTCCCACCATGCAAGGAGTCGTTATTAAACATCGTGCCTTGAGCAGTTTACCACCACCCTGACAGAGAGTTTGCTGCCTGGAAATACCAATTCCTTCTGAAAAAAAACCCTGCCTGCCTGCTGCAAACCCAGCATTTCGTAAACACTTGGGTTTTTTTCATTGCTAAAGCCATAACTTGCTGCCAATATGGCAAACTTTAAGTGATGCTTACAACTTTATTGTATTAAAATTTTACTTTCCAACAACGTGCATAAACTCACAAGTATTATTTGCTCTTTATTGTGGTGTGGTGTAATTTAAAGGTCTGAGGAGTCTGGCCCTACCTTAACAGAGACCATAGAAAACAGGTATTGAAGGTGTCAGGCCCCCATTAATTTACACCTGCAGGCCATGGCCTCTGTAAACAGGTGTACAGAGGTTTCACTTTCTGGATGTGCTCTGGGTTCTGTATTATTCCATGGAAATGTCACGGGTTTCAAATGAAGCACATACAGGATAGTTTGAATGGCAAGGGCCTAATCAGAAGCAGCAAAGTAATAGGTTTGCTGTCCTCACAAGGGGACAGAAGTCAGCAGGAGAGTGTTGAGATAATAATAGAGGTTAGCAGTGTTTACTGGTCACAGGGGATAAGCACTCATGTTTTTCATAATTAGTATTTTGAGAAGTTCCTGTCAAAGTTGTAACCCTTTGTTTGCTCCCTTTTTTTCTCCCCCTCCAAATACAAAGAGGAGAACCTGGCAGTATTTTTATTTATGTTTATTTCTTCTTGTTCACTGTTGGAGGGTGTTAACTCTCAGTTTACCTCTCCCCTAAAATTCCAGCTGACTCCCTAACCAGGCTGCCCCATGAAGGCTGCAAACTTTGTCCTTTTATCTCAATCCCTCAATGCCTTTGGTCAGCAGCAGATTCTTCTGGAAATACTAATTTAATACCTCCCAGCTTGAAATACCAGCTCAGCTTGTAAACCAAAGATAGCTCTCAAAGATTTCTTCATTGAGGGTCAGAGCATGTGCTCGAGGAAATGAAACATTCATTAGTTGGATGCCAGATTATTTACACTTGTATAATGATCAATCAGGCAATAAGAGACTGGGGATGACATTCTTCTTAGCTAATTTTAGATATTTACAGCTTGGGATACCATATCCATATCTGAGCTGCTTATATTATATTCTCTTTATAGTCAGTGGAGAGAACAGGCACATCCCCAGCATGACACTCCTTGACCAGGCTGAAATACCCTTTACAGGATGTGATGAAGTGCACCCTGAACGTGCCCAGTTTTCTCCAGCAGCGAGAAATGGGTTTGCCTGTACATCTGTACTTTTTGAGACCCACTTCTGATGTCCATCACTGCATTTCCCAGTAGTCAGTGCTAAATGAGCTTAAAAAAAATAGAAGAGCAGACTGGAGTGGCAGAACTTTAGCACAAGAGTGTCTTAATTGCACCTTTGAGTTCTGACCTCCCAGGTCACTGCACTGCTGTCACTGCAGTGATTGTCTCTCTTCACAGCTCTTTGCAGAGAATTTAATCAAAAGGAAGGAATTATTTCAAGTATTATTTCCACTATTATTCCAGTTACTTATTTGCTATCTCACTAAAATACAGGCAGGAGTAAAGTGTAGATAAAAGTGTAAATATTTTTTCTGTAGATGTACTTATCTAATGTTATCTAAAATAACTCAGTATAACAACTGAAGACTTACATTTATTACATTTAATTTTGCTAAGTGAAGGTGAAAGTAGGACCTTTCATTCCTGTTGCTTCCCCAACTCCACACAAGTGCAACCCAAATAACTCTCATGACTGAGCAAAGGAGAACAGGTCACCTCAATGAGGGCTGAATAATCTCCCAAAAGTTAAATAATGAGGATTACCAGAATAAGGCCTTGAAAGGTCATGTGCCTGGCACCAAAAAAAAAAAAAAAAAAAAAAAAAAAAAAAATCATAATGTGGGCTTAAAAATTGGTTGGGTTTTTTTTAAATGTCTTTAGAACTTGTGTTCTGCATTTGAACTGAAATGGGGCATTCAGTTTATGCACCAAATTACCTGTTTTAAAATAAAAGTTGGGTCTACAAAAATGCCAAGGATTGAAAATTTCTACAGTATCTTTTTCTCCCTAAAACATACATTGACAACCTTGTTTCAACACCTAACAATGACAACCAGGTAGCCTTTTTTAAAAAAGGTATAAGAAAAGTGTGAAATGCAAGTGGCTCCTGATCATATTTTCGTATTTTCATTAGACCTCTTAACTAAGACTTAACAAAGTATCTAATAATTTTGGATGCCTTTGGTTTTGACTACAAAAGTTTAGTCTCTCTTATAGGGAGGCACAGTTATACACTATTAAGGATTCAGCCTTTAAAAATTAAGCCTCCTATACTTTGTTAGTTTGTTGTTTTGTTTTGGGGGTTTTTTTTGTAGTACTATTGGATACCAACAGTAGAGTTGGGAAGCCTTTAAAAAGAATGTTTCAAAACATGTGAACCAAGAAGATTTTTTTTTTGTTGAAAGCATTTGATTGAAAACAATGCACTACAAACACACACTGAAACTTTTTATTTTGTTCCAGCAGGATAAGTTTAGATGCGTTTACGTTTCATCTGACACGCTGAATTCTTGCACTAAACAAACCAAGGAAAACCAAATGGAGTCAATGAACCAAAAACCTGGATTCAAAAGCCATTTATCTTTATGCCAGCCTGAGTCAAAAGTTCAGTTCTGGATACTGTCCTTCCTCAGAGAGTTCTGATCTGGAGCCCAAACTTTCTGTTGGAACCAATCTCTGTAACAGATGACTAATAAAACCAACATAATTACTTTCACATATGTGCACACACATATCTCCTTTT